AGTCAAACAAATTCTATACAACGAAAGGAGACTGCGACCACATAAAAGGCCACACCATCTTGGTCTTTATATCTTAAACCATTTTATATTTATCTATTCCTATTCATTTTCGCTTTTTAGTTATGGGTACATATAAGAGGTAAGATAGAGCCAAATATTGTTCTAGACCGAGTATTAGATTGAGACTTAATTAAGAAGAGTTCCAACTTCGATGATATCCATCATATTATGGACGAAAACTCAATCCGTTTTCACCCGAAACAAAGGAGGATGTCTCGTGGACTGTGTAAACCTGAAAGCCGTATTAAGGCAAGATAGCAGTAGTACAACTGTGATCAGTCGTCCTCTTCTGGTGAGATCGACTTTCGAATTTATTCTTCATGCACTTTCCTACGAAATGTAAATCTCTCCAATAAGTAAAGTAATCGAGGATAATGAAAAATACAAGTCTATATGTTGTATTCACTTTATTTCATTTAAGGTGATAAGGGGACTGATTGTTGAATTTGCCCGCAATTATATGGACCTTAAGTGAATTTGACATAATATTTTTTTCCTGAAAGGTATTCTTATCCAGGATAAATGCAGTTTCTAACTCAAATAGAACACCTTTTGGAAAACGCATTATAGGAAAATTCGACTATCCGTCGCCTTATCACCTTAAATGAAATAGGGTGAATACAATACATACATACGATCTACTTGAAGTCTCGAAAAGCTACTTATTAACGAAAAATAAGTAATATTATCGATTGTTATAGCAAATAAAACTTTGCTTCATCGACAATCCCACTACAGAATGTGGTATGGGAAAATAACTGCCCTCCCCTGAAATTCACATCTGCCCTGTGACCAAAGGTCACTCGCGTAAATGTGTCGTAGTAGTTAAACGTATCGAGATTATACCCCACACTGACATAGTTTGAGTCACCTGGGGGTGCCGACAAGAGCGAGGCGAAGTCGAAACTGCTGTCCATTCTTGTCTGGATGGTAATATCTTTTGAGAAAGTAGGGCTATGTGAAATTTAATGGAAACGTAAGGTCTACTCATACGATTAGCGGAAAATTAAAATACAAGTCCCTTTATCACCTTGAACGAATTAGTATGAATACACATATATATGATCTAATGGCTATCTCGAAAACCTACTTATAAACTAAAATACAAGTTTTCTTTATCGATGATCCCCATATAAATTCCATATAAGAGGCCTGGCTTTTCTCGAAAGTCACATCGATCATGTGACCGAATGACAAACGTATCAGTGGCGTAAGAGTAGCGTACGGAAAGTATACATTACACTAGCCAGATTCAATGCCCGTTGGTGGCGAGGTCAAAAATAAAGTCCATTACGGATGATAATACCTTATGATAAGTAAAGCTAAGGGAAATCAATTACATCATGAGGTCCAACTATAGCATTATGGGAAAATTCAACCATCAGCCTTCCTTCACTTTGTGCAAACTTGGGGAAATACAACTCTTATTTAAAAGATAAAAGAAATTTATAAACCTAGTGATTATAAATATGATGTTAGGATAAACACGATACTGATTTGCTAATTATTCTATTATTCATATTACAATTACAATTTTTGTGAGGGTCCATGACATTAAAAAGAAGAGAGCACATACTTTTGGAAAATTTGGGAACACAGTATCGTCATAAATAACGAACACGAAGATAAAATTGTGACAACAATTGAATGTATGAAAATTAAGGTGTGGCCAATATTTTGGTGGCAGTTAACTCTTGTTGTATAGGAGTGGATTTGCTTTGAGATCAAGCCCTTACTTTATGACCAACTTTTATGAGAAAGTCCGCATAAATTTAAAATTATTCGGAAAATTATTATAAATGTGTAGATCAAACTCCAAAAATTCAAAGGAATCAAACAGACATCACAACCATAAGTAAAGTTAAATGAATTGAACTTACTTGTGATATCATCATCAGACAGGGTGTTTTGCACAGCCATAAGAGACCTGAAAGCATATACAAATTGGCATATATAAATTAATTAATTAATTAAAAAATATATATATAAGCGCTATACAAAATGAAGAGTTGACAGAGAATATTTTTTCTTATAATTTCTATCTGGATAAAAAACGTCAAAATAAGTTAAATACTCTCACACGTTAAATGCGCCAGAAATCGGCTTTAAGTTTGTTACAATTTTGCAATTTCCTTTATGGTATAGCACGACTGAGACAATTATGCCTTGATAGAATGGCGATCCAGGCTTTCCCAACTAACCGGATATAATGGGTCGATGCAGAATAAGCACCAATTTAAGATGTAGAGATATGATGCTAATGACAGGATTTAGGTAGTATAGAGGGTGTGGTGGCAAATAACCAAAAACCAATCACTTTAGAGTGAGATAGAAAATAAAGATTTTATAGAGTAAGCCTGTCGCAAATAGGAAAGAAAGTCGAACTAAACTATGGGGTAATGTATGAGGAAATGTGTGTCATATATGGAGTCCTATGTTGATGTATCAAGCCAAAAATTAGTATCTGGGGGATCGGTAAAGTTAAACCGATGGAAGTTAAATATTAAATTAACGGCTTAAGGAAAAAGAAAAATGGATATGTGAAAACAAGGCATTCACTCCATGCATTATAAAGTAACACTTATTTTTGTAAAAAAAAACAAACTCAAACACGAGCAAATTTCATCGCCAAAAGCTTTAAAACTATAAACGTTTACACTTACACTGGTAGATTATTAGACGAAAATGGAGGTGTCTAGTGAATCTAAATGCTGGAAAAATTGTATATTTTACAGCTTTGAAAGTAATAATTCTTACATAAAAGGTGTATTCCGCTGATTTCGTTCAGGGTGATGAAGGACTGGTAGTTGAATTTACCCGCAATTATATGAATAGGTCTCATGATTCCATCAAATTGCACATAGACTTGCTTCGCGAAAAGTATTCTCCTCCAGTCTGGACTGGACTGCAGTTGCGACCTCGCCTAGGTTTCATCATCAACCCCGGCAGGGATCGAACCCAGCTTGTAGTAATGCATTGTATAATCTCAACATGTTAACCATCACGCCACACTGATAGGAATACCTTTGAGTCACAGGGAACAAGTGAATTTTTAGGAAGCCTAGGCCTTTCCCATATCACATTCGTGTGGTGAGATCGTCGGCAAGATAGAGTTGTATTTGACATAACAATCGACAACATTTCTTATTTTTAGTCGAAGATATGAAGATCAGAATGATGTGGCTTTTGTATTGTCGCAGTCTCTTTTCGTTGTTATAAACAATTACAACTTTAGTGGCCTGACGTTTCACGTGACTAGGGAGAGGGATTGGGTTGCTGAGAATGGCAAGACTCATTGATGATGCCAGCGAAACGTCTGAGAATATACAAAGTCCACGGTCCGACTCTGGAAATGATCATACATACTATGGACTCCGGACAAGATGCGCTATTCTAGGTCTTCCTGCTAATATGACAAAGTTGCGAAACCAAGGTCAAACAACCTTTATCACTTATTTTTTAATTATAAATAGGTTTTCGATACTAAAATTAGATCTGATATAAGCGCTGTATTTACCCTGCCAGTCCTTATCGTATTAGGGTGAACACAGCTCTTATATCAGAACTACTGATAGTTTCGAACCTACATATAAACTGACAACAAGAAATGTATTCTATTTTTATAGCAAACACAACTTTAATTCGCCAATGAGCCCGCTATAGAAATGTGATATGGGAAAAGCCTCTGTCATAAAAATTTACTACTACCCAAGGGAACTCGTAGCAGTGTGGTGTAGAGTTTAGTGGTCAGGATTATACCTTAAACTACCCAAATTTGAGTATCACTGAGTGTGCTGATGAGATCTAGACGAGGTCGAAATTACAGTCAATTCCTGCATGAGTGAAAAGCAAGGCTATACAAAATTCAGTGAAAACATGAGGCTCAGGCATATCATAGCGAAAAAATTCAACCCCCAGTCCTTCATCATCTTAAACGAAATTAAATAAATTCGTTTAAATTCTGATGCATCATTTACGTTTGGCTAAGGATCCGAAATTATATCTAATCCAAGGTACATGCTCATGATTATTCGTGCTAGTACTGGAAAAAAACTTAAAAATTCCGTAACAAAGAGACAAGAAAAGTAAACTAGACGTCAAATAATCCTCATGCATTCCAAATGAAGAAGCCAACAAGGAATTGTCATATTATTTCTATGCTGTATTGGAATATATGCTCCAGATATTTTTTAAATTTATAATTATCAGAATCTCGTCCAGAATAATGAAGTCTCACTATCGCTAAAAAAAACCCCAGAATTTCCTTCAATGCATCATAAGTGGTAGTAAAAGCATTGACCTAAACACTAAGAATAGCATAGATAAAAATACTAACAAAAGTCCGGAAATCGTGGAAAGGTATCTGGAGGCAAGACGGAGGAGTGTAGGCAATTGGAGCATTAAAGTTTTGAAAGCAAGAAGATTCGTATAGTTGGGAGGCAGAACTTGAGCAAGGATACTACTCGTCTTGGTGGGAAGAGCACAAGCCATGCAGCCTGAGGCGATCTCGTGGAGGCGATTCTGGACAAGCCCGATGTTGGCCTGAGACTGAGCGCGGCCTGGAAATAGTGTAAGCAGCAATTCAGCAGGAAGAGCCCGTAGCATCGGCTTAAGATAATCTCCACGTGCCGACTGACGGTCAAGTTGCTGCAACCACGCATAAAGTGAGGGAAAGAATAGCGATAAAAGAGATATGGATGGATGATGATATGGGAAGACTAAGGAAGCAAGGTAGCTAAAAAAACAAGGATGAACGATATACAAAGGTTGATACGGATATAAAAATTATATAAAACAAGAAAGAACTTTTTGATTCAAGGACTAACAGATAAATCTCCCACAACGAAATGAGAAAGTCTCCCTAAGTCATTGAATTGCATCCAGCCCTGTCTCCTATAATCTTTTATCATTCAGAAGGGACTGTAGTTTCGATGTAGCCTAGATTTCTTCAACACTCATATTGGTTGTGAATGTAGATAAACGTTATCTCTCCACCACACGGTCATAGGTTATAGTAGATAAGAGAGTAATTGTGGCTTTCAGGACAAGATATGCTTCTCTCAAATCACCTAGTTGGATTGTAGATGAGGCAAAAAAATGTATTTAGCATTACAATCTACGTTATTAACATTCTATGTGTGTTTCGAGAATATTATTGAGCTCTTCTTCAAGATTTAATGGTCTCGAAACGGCTGCCCGAATATAACGTCATTTAATATAGTGGCAAACACAAGTTTGCCTTGTCGCCAATACACTTAGGTGATTTGGAAGAGGCCTGGCTTATCTTAAAAGTCATATCTGAACTATGACCCGCGGGGTCGTGATGTTCGCCATCTTAGTCGTACGGCACAGTTTAGAATCTCGTTATCAGTGCAGGAGAGACCTAAGCGAGATCGAAGTTGCAGCCCACCCTGGATGGGAGTACCTTATGGGAGAAAAGACAAAGTGAAATTCAACGGTATCGCGAAGC